TTCAGTAACTCAATTTCTGATCTGGGCCCATAAACTGACCAGGGTACCTGACAGAAGCTCTCTCTGCTTTTGTTACATGGGAGGAGCCCAGTGAGTTGAGGCTACTTATACTTACAAAGGAGATAGCTAAATGTCAGGTTAAAGAAAAATGAGAAACATATTCTATATCCTAGAAATGGCACTAGTTCAGCAGGTAAACTGAAGTCATGGCCAGTTAATTTTTTGAGTTTCTGAAAAGTAGGTGACCTTTTGTACGTTCTAGGACCTCCTGGGCAGTGAAACTAAACAGGAATTGTGATGAAAATGTTTGTCTCTCCTGGATGGTGGCACAAACTTGGGTGGCCCATGTAGCAGTGTCAACCATACAGCAAAGCCTTGAGTCAGTGAAAGAGAGTGAGAGGCGGTTGTTACATACAGTATCTTCAGTCCAACTTTTACCCTGAACCTTTTTTTTTTTTTTTTAATTTTTTTTTTTTTTTTGAGACAGAGTCTGACTCTGTTACCCAGCCTGGAGCGCAGAAGCGTGATCTCGGCTCACTGCAACCTCCGCCTTCCAGATTCAAGCGATTCTTGTGCCTCAGCCTCCCGAGTAGCTGGAATTATAGGCGTGTGCCACCACATCCAGCTAATTTTTGTATTTTTAGTAGAGATGGGGTTTTACCATGTTGGCTGGGCTGGTCTCGAACTCCTGACCTCAACTGATCCACCCGCTTTGGCCTCCCAAAGTGCTGGGATTACAGGTGTGAGCCACCACACCCAGCCAACCCTGAGCCTTTTATTCTCAGATTGATAATTAAAAGAAAAAAATCTAGTGGAGACAGGGAGGGAGAACACTTCTGGGTTTGCAAGGCCCTAAGAGAGCCTGACAACACTCATCATTGCTGTCTGCCCACTTGATGGATCAGAGACATTAGAGCTGCTCATGTACAAATTTAAAAATCACCCTCGGGCAAGCTATGTAAGTCCTATTAGAAAGCATTAAATAAGTATACTGAATGGAACCTGTTAGACATCTGTCCCTCCAGAATCACCTTTTCTTACAAGGTGATTTTAACCAGAGAATCAGATCTATGTCCTCAGGAGAAAAAAATCTCAAAGAGACATAACATCTTTCAGATTTTTTTCTTCTTTCTAAGTAATACAGGTCGAGCATCCCTAATGTGAAAATCTGAAATACTCCAAAATCCCGAAACTTTGTGAACGCCAAAAAAAAAAAAAAGCTCACTGGAGCATTTCAGATTTCAGATTTTCCCATTAGGAATGCTCAGCAGTAAATACAATACAAATATTCAAAAATCTGAAACAAAATTCAAAATCTAAAACACTTCTGGTCCTAAGCACTTTGGATAAGGGATACTCAACTCGTATGAGATAGGGTTTTGGTCAGTGTTTCATTTCTCAAAGAAGATGAGTGTGAATAAATTTGGAATTAGGGCTTTGCCTCACTGTCAGGTAAAGTGTACCTGAAGATATGGGAATCTAAGAGCTGAGATGACTTGAGAGGTCATTTAGCCATATCCATAGTAAACACGTATCCATGACACCCTCAATGGCAAATATAACGGTCCTGCATTTGGAGTTTTAGGTAAATGTATTTAGTAACATGAGACATATTAATAATATGTTGAATTTGGTGGTGGTGAGGGAGGTTCATAGGGAATGAGTTATAATTTCATTCTCTCAATAAAAATCCTTTCCTTTTTAGGCAAACTTTAGTAACATAAATCCTGAGTGATTTTTTCAAAAGCAGATCTTTATTAAAAAAGCAAATTCACGGAATTTTATGGTCTAGACAGACCATAAAATTTATTGTAGAGATATACCATGAAATCCTGAGTAACATGAAGCATGGTTCTTCCTTGACCTGGAGTTAAGATGTGTATGCACGAGCCAGGAAGTTGCCTACCCCCATCTACAAAATGTCACCAGAAATGTAATCAATGGAGAAATCTGATTAACTAAAACTCTTCCAGAGACACGGCTATACATTAAACTTTTTTTCTTACATACCTCTTAAAGTTTTTAGATGCTTTATGCCCTCTCACACATTTTTAAACTGACACCTAAAATCTTTTAATCATAAATTCAATAGCCGCAAAAATGTAGGCAGTGTGTATGTGTATGCATAAGCATAGACAGATCTTTTTGAAAAAAGCAGGTTACTGGAATTTTATTGTGTAGATATACAATAATTTATTTAATCATTCTCCTATTGAGGAATTTAGTTATCTCCAGATTTTTGCTAATAAAAATGTTTCAATGATTAAATTTTGGTACAATTTTCAGATACAACCATTACCCTAGTAAGATTTGGTTTGTGTTGCAGAGTAATTGAAATTAAATTCAACTGCAATTCTAGAGAGACTGGACCAATTTACACTTCTGTCAGGTATATATAAAAGAATGTCCATTTCCCAAATCCAATGAGGACAGGCTATCATGACATAATCCAATAGAACATGTGAAATGTGGTATTTCACTGGTGTTTAAATTTATATTTCTTTAATTTTGAATGAGGTTGAGCATCTCTTCATATGTTATCCTTTCATTACTGTACTGTCATTTTTTATAGATTTGTGGAAACTTTTTTTTGAATTAAAAGATATTGACTTCGTTATATACAAAAATATTTTTCCAGTTTGTCCAATTTATCTTTTGAGTCTGCTTATTTTTTGTCATACATAAGTTTTCATTTTTCATGCATTTTATCATTTTTTAAAATGATTTTTGGGTTTTATATCTTGATTGGGAAGGCATTTCTCACTAAAAGATATACCCAGACTTTTAATAGACTTCTTATGGCTTACATTTTTCACATTTAAATCTGTCAACCTTGAATTTTGTGGTGGTGGTGAAGTTCACAAGGAATGAGTTAAAATAAAGTATAATAATTTTCCCAAACAGCTGTTTGCCATCAAGCTGTGTAACAAATAATCCTTCTTTTTTCCACTGACATAAAATACCACTTTTACCATAAATGAAATCCCCAGTTTCATTTGGGCCCATTTATGAACTCAACGCTCTCTATTCCACTGGTTTTTCCATTTCTTCACTAATTTAAAATGTATTTAATTATAATTATTGTACTATTCAGAATACATTTTAATATATGACAGAGTGATAGTCCCCATTTTTCTTCTTTATCAGAAGTTTCTTTGCTATTCTCAGATGTTTATTTTGATATATTTGAATTGGCATTGGATATTTACAAGATTGAATCTTTTGATCCCAGTAATGTTTAAAAACATTTGTCCTATAAGTTATCTATATTGTTTCCATAAATTACCACCTAAGTTTTTACATTTTGGTTCCTTCTGTAAATGTAAATTTTTCATCAAAAATATTTTCTAACTGATTATTTCTTGTGAAAAGAAACATGATTTTAGATAAACTTCGTAACTTGCTTCCTTACCAAATTTTCCTATTTTTAATAATTTTTTTAGCTATATAATCCTCTAATTTTTTTCTTTTCTTTTCTTTCTTTTTTTTTGAGACAAGGTCTCACTCTGTCACCCAGGTGGGAGTACAGTGGCGTAATCATGGCTCATTACAGCCTCGACCTCCTAGGCTCAAGCAATTCTCCCAGCTTAGCCTCCCAAGTAGCTGTTACTATAGGCATGCACCACTAAGCCTGGCTAATTTTTGTATTTTTTTGTTGAGACAGGGTTTCACCATGTTGCCCAGGTTGGTCTTAAAACTCCTGGGCTCAAGGCATCTACCCACCTCGGCCTCCCAAAGTGCTGGGATTACAGGTGTGAGCCACTGCACCCAGCCTAATCCTCTAATTTTCAAGTAATAAGCTTGCCTCTTCTACTTGAACTTCTCTTCCTCTTATACAACTGCATTGGTTAGTACCTCTAGAAGAATGCTAGCTGTCAGTGGTGATGATGGGTTTCCTGCCATTGCTGGGAATGCTCTGGAGTTTCATTATTGGGCATGATGGTGGGTTCTGGTTTAACATATAGACACACTGGCTAGCCCACATGCCAAAAGTGAACCTGCCCAACCTCTAGGAATGCAGGTAACTTAGTCTTGTCACCTACTGTGTGGCAAACACAAGCACAGCTATGGCTAGTTGGCCCAGGTTCATCCTCTTTTCCACATTCTTATCACAAGTCCTCTTCCGGAGTCACCCTGCCTCATCAGGGGCAAGTATCGGTTCGATGTGGGGTTCCCCTGTCTGGTGCACCACCCTTGGAGCCCTCATGCTTTGATCCAAGGGTCATCTTAAGTGGGTCCTCTTCACGTTTTTTCTCCCAACTCCCCAAACATAAGAAAAAATATTCCTATGCAAAGTAGTTTAGAAGCCAAAGAAAGAGTGTCTGTCCAGCAGGTTCTGACCAGAGCTTGTCCCCTCAGATGACAATGCTTTACTGATTCTCTCGTTGCTTAAATTCCTATGCAGCACTAAAGATAACAAGTGAGAGATACTCCAGGTGTCTAGGGATCTCCTGTCTACTCCCACTCTCCTACAAGCAGAAAATCATCAAAATGGTCAACTCCAGCATGGCTTTTTTTTTTTTGTAGTCTCTGGTAGAATGTGGAAGTCACTGAGACACAGTTTCTCCTTTCAGGGCAATTTTGCTGCTTCTACACACCTGATCTCATTCTGTCTCGCTCTCTGAAAGCTATTATTCAGGACTTTATTCACTCACTTCTCCTCACTTAATGTTTCAATAGATGGCAAAACTGGAAGCTTGTGGGGAGCTGCCCCAAGTTGATTCTTAGATGTCTGTCTTGTTCTTTTGCTGAATGCTAGCTCTATTCTTTATTTAATATTGCCTGAATATTTTTGTTTGTTTAGTTTAGTTCTTTAAACCTATTTGTTGCTCATGTTGTTAGGATTTTGGTTTTGTTATGTCATCCTAAACTGGAGTCCTCTGTATTCATTTAAACTGGTAACTTCAAGGCTGAAGAAAATGCTGAGACTGATTCTTCTAAATTATTTCTCCTGTCACTTGCTAAGGTAATACATACATTTTCAGGACAGCTGCTCTTACCTGCTGCTTGAGTGCCTCCAAAGACTCAAATTCCAATCTGGCTAGTTTCACCTGGATATGCCGTGGTTTATCAGGTATGGCAAATGCAAGGATAAACTTTAAAGCCAGGAGTGCGTGCTGAAAACAAGAAAGAGTACATGTTGATGTGATACATCAGACCATATACACAAGGAAATAAATTGATATCTAAGCAACCTAGGGTCCTTTATATTAATCTTGGGTAATTTCTAACTATTGACCTGTGAAGTATCAAAGACCAAGCAGGCTCATGAATTGTACTGAGTCCACCCTGTTGTGGTTCATTCAATAATTTACTGACTTTATTTAATTCTTTTTTTTTTTTTTTTTTTTTGAGACTGAGTCTCACTCTGTCGCCCAGGCTAGAGGAGTGCGGTGGCACGATCTCGGCTCACTGCAACCTCTGCCTCCCAGGTTCAAGCGATTCTCCTGCCTCAGCCTCCCGAGTAGCTGGGATTACAGGCAGGCACCATCACACCCAACTAATTTTTTTTGTATTTTTTAGTAGAGATGGGGGTTTCACCATGTTGGTCAGGCTGGTCTCAAACTCCTGACCTCAGGTGATCCACCCACCTCAGCCTCCCAAAGTGCTGGGATTACAGGTGTTGAGCCATCACATCCAGCCAGCTTTATTCTTTTAAAATCAGGTATTCCCATAAACCGATACCGTAATGGTACCCTCAATGTTTTATAGAAAAATGGTTTATTCTGAAGTCTTCTACAAACTCTTTTCTAGCAATGTATCTTAGTATACAATATTTGTAGTCACTCTACTCTCTGCCCAATGTCCCTGTGCTGCACTTCAGTTTGAGTTACATAAAACGTACATATATCTTAAAAATAAGGTGCCATGAATCCTCTAATCCCAATAGCGTTTGGTGCATTTTCTTTTATGATGTGATAATCAATAAAGATTAATTCAATGATTGTAACCTTATGCTGCTGACTCCATATATGGTAAGTACACGGACATTATAATATGGAAAACTTAAAACCTGGCTATTATTTTTCTTTCTCATACAAGCATCATAAAGAACTCCTCTATAACATAATGATATGAGATGTATAATTAAGCCAATGGTATTGCTTCCATTGGTAATCCCGCTGTTCAGATGTATAGGCTCAACCTACTGATGCTTCTCCAAATCCAGATCATCTTGTGTTCCAGAATCAACACCCACAGAAATCTAAGTGATCAAAAGGATACAGCTGCCTCTGTGGTGACAGCATGAGTTACTAAATATTAAAAGTTGTGATTTTTAAAAGAAATAATTAAAAGGCATTAAGAAAATCAATGAGAGAGATGGAACAGCCTTTGAGAAATGTTGCATTGAATTACTGACAGAAAAAGAACAGTTGAAAAAAATTAAAGGAATTTCTTACTGTGATATTTTCAAAAGGAGGAATGAGGGATAAATAACAAGCAGATATCTCCTGGGAGAAGCATGAAATAGTGAAGGAAATCAGCATGATGCCAGAACAAGCAATAATTTAATCAGAAGACTTGAAAATCAGCAGAACCCCAGGACAGGCCAAGCAGTGCCTGGTATTAACAAGAGACATAGAATAGACCAGGGACAAACAGCCTTCATGTAAATGTGACTGCCATGACCAAAGATGACACTGGAAGATAGTGATTAAGGGTCTAGAGTAGAAAAACAAGTAGATAATATAGCATGGACCAGATGATACCCTATGTTAAAATTCTGAACTGAATTAATAAAAACCTAATCTCCAAATAATACATGAATAATTCAGAAAACGCTATGCTGTACCATTATTTCATTCCATTAGAATACTGAGAGATAACTTTATACAAGACAATCTCTTCAGTGGAAATATTAGACAAGAAATAAACAAATTAGTAGATAAAAAGAAATATTCCATGTATTTCAGAGTCTGTGTAGCCTTAAGTTGTCGGAGTCCTACATGACATGCAAAGTCATGGCCCCTTTCCATCTCTCCTAATAAATCTGTGCCCATTTCCTCTTCCTCAGAGTCTTGGCAGGAATTACAAAACAAAATATGCTGCTGAGGAAGGACATGCTTCCCTTGGATGTTAAGGCATCTGGAAGGTGTATTAACTCTCCTTTGGGAAACAGGACTGGCTATTAGGTAACAGAACAAGGTTGCCCAGATTTTGCTGCTATGGTTTCCATGCAAACTGTTCACAAAATTATCATGAATTGAAAAAAGTTGATATTGATTAGACAATATTAATCAAAACAGGATGCCATTTTAAACATTTACATAGCAACATGCTTTTATGAGTAATTCTCTATAGTTTATTTTCCAAAAAATATAGCATCTTCACAATGGTTTTCTTTAGATGGTGGCACTATAGGCAGTCTATCTTCACTTTTTAATGGACATACATTACTTTTATATGGGGGGAAAACTTATATAAAAAAGAACACAGGGATTCCTATAAGTGAATTACATATGCCCTGCCAGGCTCCTAAACTCACCTCGTCCTGACTCCACATTTGCCCAGTAAACAGACAAAACCAGACAATTTGCAGTTCAGAGAATATGGCTTTTTAAACTGAAGTCCAAGAATATAAGAAGCTGGGCAAAGTGGGCTGGGTGCAGTGGCTCACACCTGTAATCCCAACACTTTGGGAGGCTGAGGTGGGTGGATCACTTGAGGTCAGGAATTCAAGACCAACCAGCCTGGACAACATGGGGAAACCCCATCTCCACTAGAAATACAAAAATTAGCTAGGCATGGTGGCAGGCACCTGTAATCCCAACTACTTGGGAGGCTGAGGCAGGGGAATTGCTTGCACTTGGAAGGCAGAGGTTTCAGTGAGCTGAGATCGTGCCGCTGCACTCCAGCCTGGGAGACAGAGCGAGAGACTCCATCTCAAAAAAAAAAAAAAAAAAAAAAAAGGCTGGGCAAAATGATCACTTTGTATTCACTCATTCTGCAAACATGTGGAAAGTACTTATGCAGGGCCAGAGTGCTCAGATGGAAGCCTTCATCAATAACTTCCCAACCTTCTCTAATCTGTCATATTGATTTTCTCCCCACTTTCCTAAACTACCAGAAATTTCACCAATTATAGGTTTATTTGCTTTGATACACATTTTCTATTAAAAGTGAAAGCATCAGTGGGAAGGTTAAGGAGCATCAACCATTCACAGATATTGGTTAATTACTTTAATTAGTTGTTGCTAACAAGTTCTTTCTTGCTCTCCTCCACCCCTACCCCTAACCCCTAGGCAAATAACAATGAATAATTGGGAGTGAGGTGGGAAGACAACACAGCAGGGATAGGATCAGCTCCAACAGCAGGGGTCCTGCTTCAAGGAAGTGGTGTAAAGAGAAGCAGAAAGGAGCCAATATTGTCTCTGTGGTCAGGAAAGGATATATTAGACCTTCCTCACCTCCACCCCCACTTTCTTAGCAGTTTCTCTTATCCAGGATCCAGAATTCAAGTTGAGCATCATGTTAAGTAAGCTTTTGTGTTGTAGCCTGGAAACCTAAATAACATTTATAGTCTTGTGTTTCAAATGGTCAATTTTTTGGATATTATTTATATTTTCCATACAGCCACTCTGTTTCAAGGCTGGGAACTGCTTTATGCTAACTAATCTGAGAAAGAAAAAACTGTAAACAGCATTTTTGTCATTTTTTCTTGTTTAAATAAAAAAAAACTTAAGATAAAATAGGAATCTATTCATATCTGGAAAAAAAAAAACACTCAAAATGAATAGTGGGGTGGAAGGAGCTTATCTATGAAAAAAGAAGACATTTTATGCACCAGAATTGTGATTCTTCTTTTACAGTAAAACTCACAAAATTATATCCTAAACAAAGTAAAGGAGAAAAACAGTGAAGGTGGAGGAAGGGGAAGGGGAGGAGATGGGCAGAATTTTAAAACTAGTAAATACAAAGAAGTTGGCTCCCCACAACAATATGCCTTAAACAGTGATTATAGGGTGTCTGAGTTGGGAAAGGGAAAAAAAGTAACAGGACCAGAGAAAATTAGCACTCAGAAGCTAAAAGTTTTCCAGTGCCAGTGGTAAAGTACTGCCTGCTCTGCTATTAGCACATTGCTCACCTTTGGTCACTGCAGGGTTGTCAAACCCTGGGACTCTCATGCCAGCTGCACAGAGAGCCAGCAGAACTATTTTATTTTGCAAAAACTAGAAAACTTGTGACATGATCCATAGTAGTAGCTGTGTTTTGTAGTAATATGTCTCCAACCCTGTCTCTACTGAAACAGAAGATGCAAATTAGAGTTGAATTCTTAGACTTCTGAAAAGCAGATCTGATATCTACAATGGTATGTATGCAGAGTTACCTGTCTCCACTCAGATCCCAGCCACAACTGAACAAAAGGAGTGCCCTGAAAAAGGTATCTTCTGCTGATTACTAGACAAATTACGTGCCAAATGCAAATTAATAAAAATGATTAATGGAGCAGAGATTGAAAAAAATGTTATGGAATTAGGCTCTTAAGAAAACAACCTCAGGGATTTTCATTTTAAGACGGTAGACCAAGCAGGTACATCTACTTCTTCTACCTCCCAAAGGTCCCCTGAAATGACAGAAAGATATATTCTAAAAGGAACAACACTGGAAAATAAGAGAAGTTGCCAGAACTTCTGAGGATAGGACCAAGGCAAAGGCAGGTACTCCCAAAGGAGCCTCAGAGAAGGGCCAATGTCAGATTTGACCCCACAAAGGACCCCTGGTGAGCCAGGGAGTCTGCACCAAAGTGAGTAAAGAACAGCCATCAGAGAAGCTGGGGCCATGGGGAGCCTTTCTCATGCCACCTTGAGAGGGAAAGAGAAAGTAGAATGTATACATTCAACTTTCTGTCTTTTCAGAGGACCACCTGAGGGACTAGTTTCTGTCTTTTCTAAATTAGAAGGCATGTGAACTTAAAGGGCATACTTTAAATGCCTAGGGGATGCTGAGAACAATTAAGGGCTTGTCAGCTTGTAGCAGCACCAGAGAACTTGCAGTACTGCACACAGACACCAGAGGCAGCAAGAAATTACAATCTCCTGAAAAAGAAGCTGGCAAGCCTTTCTAATCGGGAAATTAGATGCATAATCCCAGAGAAGACACACTACCAGAAAAGATT